TGGAAGAGAGGCTCCAACCACACCAGCTGAGCTTTTCAGCTCCGCTTCCTGCCAGCAAGTCCCAAGAGGCAGCCGATCCGTGCGCCTGGTGGCCTCCTGCAGCTGCAAGGAGGGCAGGAGAGGAAGCAGCCCACTCTCAGGCTGGGCCCAGGGAGGCTTCAATTCCCCCCCCCCTCCGTAGCTCTTTCTGAGGCCTTGGGATCTCCTGCACGGCTAGATCTCTGTCTGCCACCTCCACTTCTCATCCTTAACCCACCAGAACGAATTCCATGGGGATGATCAGAAGGGATCCCAGCTCAGAGCAAAAAAAGCCATTTAAAATGAGAAAAAGTGGCAGAGCCCATCATATTTTTTTCTAACTTCTCCACTGTCCCCATTCCTCCCCCCCCCCGTCCAAAAAAGGCCTTCCTTTGGACTGAGTAATTCCCTCCGTCTCTGTTGGCTGGACATGACGGCCCCGTGGAACCTGCCACTTTTCAAGGGCGGCAGAGGTGGGGCAATTACCCCAGATGAAAACTGGCACTCAGTCAATAACCCATCTCGGGAGAGGCCGGGAGTTGCTAGAAGGATCTTGACCCCAATCAAAGCGGTGGGGGGGGCAGAACGGGGGGGGGATCTCTTGAGACAGGCAGCCACTGGGCCTGCCAGACCTCCAGGGCAGGAGCTGCTCCTGGGCAGATCTCAGCGTGCCCAGGGAGACAAGCAAACACCGCTGCCCCCGCCATGACAGCCCCAATACATGGGGGGGGGGTGGCGGAGGTATCAGCTCAGCAGTAAAGCTTTTCTTGTAGCCCCAAATGTGCAAAGGCAGAACAGCCCTGGCTGCTCTGGCCCAGGAAAGGGAGCCTTTGGCTGGCTTGGAAAGGACCATCAAACACGGGCAAGGAATGGGGGGGGGACCCAGACTGGGCCAGCTAAGAAGGGAAGTGAAGTAACAGCAGCGCTGCCTCCCTCCAGTTTTAAGGCCTTTCTTCCTTCCAGTTGCAACAGGTGGGGGGAGGGAGGTCCAAGACCATCTGGGATTGTGACTCGCCACACTCCTTGCTCACCCAGCTTGGGGCAAGGGGAACTGGTGCTCTGGAACGTCACAGCCAAGTGGGAAGGCCTCCCCAAGGCAAGGAGGTCTCAGATGCCGAGAGGACCAGACTCCGGTGGGCACGAGTCAGCCAGGACTGCCAGGTTGCTGGTTTCTAGGTGGCCCAAACGTGGGAAAGGTGGGTCAGGGTGGGGGAGTGCAGGGTGCTCTGGGGAAAATCTCCCCCAGCTTCTCTCCCCCCAAGAGGCCTGGCTGTGCACACCTGCCTCCCCAACTGATTTTGCACTCTGAGTTCTGGAATGGAGCACCTTCTTGGGCCTGACTGGAAGCCAGAACGTCTCCTTCCCGGTGCAGGAAAAACCTCAGCAGTCAGAAGCCACCCAGGTGAGCCTGCAGCCTCGGAGATCTGTTCCTCACCTCCTCGCCAGCCTCCACCTGCACTCTCCGAAGATCCAGGTGTGGCTGGGGGACCCTTTGCTGGCCTGTCTGAGAGCCGCTGCAGTTCAGGGAGGGAGCGGGAACCGGACGCGGGCCCTCCAGCAGCAGCCCCCGGGGACGACCAAGGTGGGAGGAAGCTCCCGGTGGGGAAGGTACATCCGGTCATCCGGTGCGCCTCTCATCTCCCCCTACCTGCTCCTCCCCTTGCCTGGAGGGGGCGAAGTCGCAGGCTGCCAGCCTGTTGTGGCCGCCCTGTGGCTGGACACATTGGGGTCATTTGCCTTTGGCCAGGCGCTGAGGTGGGGGGACGGGGGCTGCATCGCTCGGGAACAGGCCGGGAGCCCCAGCCTTGTTGCTTGGCTCCATCCTGACAATACCCCGGATTCAGGTTTTCCGTCGGAAGGAGGCTGACGCTGGATTTGGTGGCTGCCCCATCCCCGCCGCTCTGCAGGGACCAACCTTTTGCAGGGCTGCCCTGTCGCCGCTCCTCCTGCCCCGCCCCGCCCCACCCTGGGGTCTCCCCAGCCTTTCGGCAGCCTGGGCTCTAGAGCAGCCCGGCCCAGCGGGGTTCCAGGCGGCCGGCTGGAAAGGAACTCCGGGCGCTGCACTCCCCGCTCTGCCGGGAAGATGCGCCTCCTTACCAGCCCCCAGAACCCCAGGCGCCCTTTGCACCTCGCAGCTCCGGCAAGTGGCTCCAAACGATGCCCCCCTCCCAGATCCACGGCTGTCTTTGCTCAGAAGCGCTGGTCTCCTGTCAGCTTTGGCGAGGTGATCTGGGCCCCTCCGGGGCAACGGTGGGGAATCTGCCTGGGGAAGCCCCTTTTCTCAGACGGCCTGTAGGGGGCAGGGAAGGGGCCACCACACTAGGGCAGGGCCGGGGCAGGGAGCTCACGGGGTGACCAGGGTCCGACAAGGGCTGCAGAAGAGGCTGGAGCCCTGGAGGAGGCCTAGCATTGCCGGCCAGGCGGTCCTGGCGTTCTTTAGGGAACAGGGTCTGCTCTCAGCCCAGTGACCCAGACTGGTGGCTCCTATAATTCGCCTTCTTGGGTGCTTGAAGAGAGCCCTCCTGGCTCTGCTAGGCCAAAGTCTTCTGGTTCTAGCCATCACAGGCCGCCCCACAGGGCTGGATCCTCTGGGGAACAGAGACCTGCCCAGTGGAACTGCTCCAGAGCAGAGCTCCCGAAACCTGGCCCCTTTAAGACTTGTGGACTTCAACTTCCAGAATTCCGCAGCCAGCTGTGCTGCCAAAGAGTTCTGAGAGTTGAATGGCTGCTGCTGTTCCTGAGCAGGTCCAGGAGGGAGGTGCCATCCTACCTACCCACCTGCCTTGCGGAGAACAGAAACAACCCTCAAGAGGAGCAAAACGGCATCCAGCATTGCCCACTGGGGAGGCTACAGGGTCTTGTCTGCAGCTGACAAGGGGCTGAGAGGGGCCAGCTGAGGGCTGGAGGAAGCCCTGCCGGTATGTGGAAGCCCTGGTTCCACATACCGGCAGCAGCCTCTGCTGGCCAGATCTCTGGAGAGCCTGGGACGGCCCTGCAAGAGAGGGGGTGGAGTCTGCACTGCTCCCCAGCTGGAGGTAACAGAGCTCTGGGAGGAAGAACCGGGCAAGACTTGACCTTCCCTGCAAGTGTGGGCTGAGCCCCACTGCAGGAAACACACTGGGCCTTGCAAGTGGCCCAGCTCCTGTTGCCACTAGCTGGCTTACGATTCCCAGGGTCCTTAGTCAATGGCCCAACGGCTGAACACATCCGGAAGGCACCAGGTTGGGGAAAGCTGGTGGAGATGGCCACGTTAGGAAAGGCTTGTGCAGAAGAGTGAACACCCCCCCTTCCAGTTCCTCTCCAGGTGAATACAAAGAGGTTGATCCATTGGGGGGAAGGAGGGGCAATACTTTCTCTGCAAACTTGGGCCAAGCTAGGGCCAGGCAACAGCTGCAAGAGGCCACAGCCCTGGTGGACCCTAGAAATGGGCTGCCAGTGGCTACTTCCTGGTTTTCAATTTCCCTGTCCAGCCTGCAGCTCTGGGTTTCCTCCCAGGCCTTTCCCAGCCTCCCTCCATTGACTCAGGCTCCTGCAGGGGGAAAAATTCACAAATGGGTAGCAGCACTGCCCCCTTGTGGATAAAGGAAGTTTACACACACTTGCTTCCTGGCCTTTTGCTTCACCATCATCTATGCTTCGTTTTCACAACTGCACAAGCCCAGCAACAAAAGCCGAGGGTGGAGCTGGCAGGGACAGGTCAGGAGTCGCCATCTCCAGGAATTCTCTGGATTTGCGCCCTCTGCCCAGCCGACCGGCCTTCCTGTGAACAACTTTGGGGTACTCTTGCTGCTAATGCCCTCCCTCTCTTTGGCCCCAGTGGACGGGAATCCCACCGTCTGCCCTGGCAGGCCACAAAAAATCAAGAGGGCTAAAAATACAGGTAGTCCTTGATTTACAACAGTTCGTTTAGTGACCGTTCCAAGTTATAACAACACTGAAAAAAGTGACATGACCATTTTTCACACTTATGACTGCTGCAGCCTCCCCCAAGGGTCACGTGATCAGAATTCGGTTGCTTGGCAACTAGTTCATATCAATGAAGGTCCCCTAAATTTTACCAAAAAAGCCAAACTGAGAGGCAGGCTGAGTGAGGAGATACCAACTTGTGTTGGCTGGAGGTACTGAGAGGGAGGAGGCAGGAAAAAGAGGACCTCACCTAACGGAGCATGTGCCAAGAACATTAAATGAGTCAACAATCATGGATACAAAACCTTCATTTAATTACACCTGTTCAAGTTCTATTAAAATAAAGCTTAGAATCCTTATCAATCAATTAGAATAGAGCTGGAAGGGACCTTGGAGTCCAGCCCCCTGATCAAACAGGAGACCCTAACCCATTTCGGAGAAGTGGCTGTCCAGTCTTAAAAGCCTCCAGTGATGGAGCACCCACAACCTCTGGAGGCAAGCTGCAACAGCAATTCCTGGAATCAATAACAATAATAGAGTTGGAAGGGACCTTGGAGGTCATCTAGTAAAACCCCCTGCTCAGATAGGAAACCCAATGCCATTTCACACCCACGGCTGTCCAATCTCTTCTTAAGAACTTCCAGTGTTGGAGCATCCACAACTTCTAGAGGCAGGTTGTTCCACTGATTAATTGTTCTGACTGTCAGGAAATTTCTCCTTAGTTCCAGATTGCTTCTCTCCTTGATCAGTTTCCCTCCGTTGCTTCTTGTCCTGCCTTCAGGCACTTCGGAGAATAGCTTGACTCCCTCTTCTTTGGGACAGCCCCTGAGATATTGGAACGCTGCTATCATGTCCCTCCTGGTCCTTCATTAGACTAGACATACCCAATTCCAGCAACTGTTCCTTATATGTTTCAGCCTCCAGCCCTCTGATCATCTTTGTGGCTCTTCTCTGCACTCTGCACCATCTCGGTTGTGAGTCAGGCAGCAGCAGAGCCAGCAAGCCTCTCATCTGGGAGGAAGACATTTATCTTGTAGTGTTTGAGATGAGCAAAGTAGAACTGCCCATTCTTCCTGCAGACATCCTGACAGGCGGCAAGGTCCAACATCCCAGGACAGGGGTCTCAGGTTCAGTCCAATCCTAAAATCTGTCCCTGAGCTGAGATGGAAAGCAGATCTGCAACTTGGGTGGCTGGCAAGTCCCACCATTATTAGCCAAGCCTGGAACTTGGAAGAACCGGCCTGAAACAGCAAGTGGGGGGAAATAAAGGCGGGGGCGTCTCGAGAGCGACTTCAGCCACTGGGAGGGGGGTCTTGTACCCAAAGTCCCTTAATTGCAGCACCGCAATCTCCAGTCGGGGACTATTATAGACCGCTTTGGCCAGAGTCCGGATCGGTGTCTTGCAAGGCTCCAGTGCGGGGCTCTCCTCCTCCTCCTGCAGCCGCCGAAGGACTTGAGGCTGCTCCCGCCGGACTCTGGCCTGGCTCCCGCGGGGAAGGCGCCGAGTCCGACGCGCATGAGGGAACCGGCGGCGGCCGGGGCGGGTTGAGCTCGGGCCCCGCGGGCACCTCGAAGCGGCGCAGGAAGGCCAGGTAGGCGGCCCTCTGCGCGGCAGCGGCGGGGACGAAGTGGCCGCCCTCGTGGGCCAGCAGGACCGGCTGGGCAAAGCGCGACGCCAGCGCCCGGCTCTCGGCTTCCGGGATGACGCGGTCGGCCTGGCCGAAGACGTGCAGGCTGGGCACCCGCAGCGCCCCCGCCGCCGCCCCCGCGGGGAAGCCGGCCACCAGCAGGGCGAAGCGGAAGGGGAAGCGCCCGTCGCCCCCCTCCCGCAGCGCGCACACCAGCCCGGCCAGCGCCGCGCCCTGGCTGAAGCCCAGCAGCCCGTCCACCGGCCCCAGCTCCGCCAGCGCCGCCGCCACGGCCCGCAGCGCCTCCTCCGGCTCCGCCTCGGGCGCCGGCCCCGGCCCGGACTCCAGCCACCACCCGCGCGGGGCGTCCTCCCCCTCCGGCTCCCCCGGCTGGGCCGGCAGGCGGTGCGGCGCGTCCAGGTAGAGCAGCTCGGCGCGTCCCCGCAGGGCCTTCCGCAGCGCGCCGGTCCGGGCGCGGAACCGCCGGGCGCTCTGCCCGTAGCCGTGGAGACACAGAAGCCGCAGCTCCCCGCCGCGCGGCGCCGCCATCTCCTTCCGGGTCCCGCAACGGAAGTCCCGTGGAGCCATGCCGCCCGGCTCGACCAATCGGAGGGCAGGATCGTCTCCCCGGCAACCGCGCAAGGAGACTGGCGGCCAATCCGTCTCTTCTCTGATGGGACGTCCGCGGGAGGGAGGGAAAGGCGGTGGGTACGCATGCGCTCTCCGCGCCTGCTACGCTCTACCGCATGAGGCTTCTGCAACCTGGCGCCCCCGGTCCCGTCCTGGTGCTCCACCCTTCCCGGACATGGGGGCGGCTGAGGATGATGGACTTGGAGGTCGTCGTTTGGAAGGACCCTGTGCTGCTCGCGAACGCCTCTCCCTCTAACAAGCGCGCATCTTCGGCCACGACCCCGCGAAAGGCCCCAGGGGGCGATGCTGGAGGGGGGACGGCGGCCAGTCCCGGCTCCGAGGTGCACCGCCGACTCCCCCCACCCGTCTTTGCAAAGGCGATGAGGCCGGCTCAGCGCCTCGCTTTGCTGCCCCTCCCGCGAAGCCCGGGGAAAGGAGGGGAAGCGCCCCCCCCGGCCCCTTCTGCGCGGAGAGAGGAAAGGGACCAGCAATCTCCCTCCTCCCCCCAGTACGGGCCCACCGGTTGCCCTTTGCAAAGCCCCCTTAACGCAGCCGGAGTCCCCAGCGAGGGTCCGGCCACGCAGTGATGCCCCCTGGGCCTCCCTCCCCCACTGCAATCACCCAGTTTGGGGGGAGGGAAACTATACTACCAGGACGCCAAGGAAGCACTCCCAGTTCTCGAAGGGGGGGCCTCCTCCCCCCCCCGCTGTTCCTCGAACAAGGGAGGAATGGCTGCAGTTTGCCGTTCCGGCACTGTCACCGGGTGGGGTGGAGTTGGCTTCGTTGCGGTTGTTCATTTTTGGTGCCTTTGTGGACTTCTGGACCGGCCTCTGCAGCTTACATGGCTTGAGGCTTTTCAAAACTGGCTTGCCGGCTCCAGTCTGGGAATCTCCACAGACATTCAGCTGCCTGGAGGGGAACTCCTTAACTATAACCTCTACACCTAAGCTGGAGTTGAGTTAACCCAGGGCATGTTGGGGTCAAACTGAATACTTCTCCCACAACGCAAAACTCCCGCCCCAATCTAGTTAATGGGAAAAAGATAATGTGTGTCTGGGCACAAAGAGGTACAAGGATGGGATAACACAAACAGATCAATATTAACCAAGCACTCTGCCAGTCTATTGTGTCCAAAACACACCCTGGATTGCCAAAGGACTGTCTTCTGGAGAAAGCAAATTGCCATCAAGTGGAGGGCAACATCCCTCGGCTTTCGCTTTAAAAAGTATGTTTTTTGCTCCAGAAAGCACTCTTGGCAAACAGCATCTGCTCCCGGCTCGGATTTCTTTCCCTACTGAAGCCAGAGGACAAAAACCAAGAGATTTCCAGGTTATCGTTCCCAAGTTACTTTTTAAGTCCCTAACAATGCATCACCAGAGTTTTGTTCTGACAGTATTCAGGCATGTCAATAATAGCAATAGCATTCTGGCTTGTATACTGCCCCATAATGCTTCACAGCACTCTCTCGGGTTTTACAATGTCAGCATTATTTGCATCTTTCCCCCAACAATCTGGGTCCTCATTTCACCGACCTGGGAAGGATGGAAGGCTGAGTCAACCTTGAGCCGGTCAGGATTGAACTCCCGGCAGTGGGCAGACTCAGCCTGCAGTGCAGCACTTTAACCACTGCATTGTCAACCTTCAGAGCAAAAGACAGGAGCTTTTGACCCAAGGCTGCCTTTGGTATCAACCAGCACAGATGGAGATAAGGACTTCCTGCACCATCAGATTGCTGGGACCCCCAAACACACACCTGCCCTCTTTTGCTCACTGCCACCAGGCCCACCTCTCCCCACAGCTGCAGGTGTCTGTGCTTGGTCATTGGTGTTATTAGTCCAAATATTCAGTTCCTGGGTCTCCAGCAAGGTCCCCCGTTTCCTTCTGTTTCTCCAGCTGCTGAACCCCAAATGCCAGTGGTTGCAACTGGACTTGGAGGCAAAAACCTTGCCTCCCAAAGAGCTGGCAGTAGAACACAGCACCCTCCCATCTGGATCAAGTGCTGGAGTTTGGTATCAGGTTGTTTTTTCCCACTGGAGCGTGGGGAGGGATGGGGGAATCCCCCCAAAATGTCTGTGCTTCAGAATTCGGCCCCTATTGCTGCTGCTGCTGCTGCTGCTCCACACACAGCCTGGGACCCATCTCAGTTCCTGACTCCACTCCAAGGTTTGATGACGCCTTCTCCTCCTCCTCCTGCTGGCAGGAGCAGCTCTTCAGGGCTTCTTTCCCAGCAGATGGGAGGAGGGATTTGGCCAGCTTCACCTGGAAAGCAGGAAACCGCAAGACGGATTCATGCCATCACTTGCATAACACCCCTTCATCACCAGAGGGGGATTCGCAAGAGCTTCTGCCAGCGGCAGCTGAAGCAATGACTGATCAATCTGGGCCAGAAATTTTGCACCCCCCTCTGTGCGTCCAGCCAGTGCAGTGGTGCTCTCCAAACAAGCCGTCGCCAGTCACCCTTTGGCCAGTGGCTCAGATCTGCTGCCCACTTGTCAGGAAGCCACTGCCAAGGGGCATGGCGCACAACGCAGAGATCACCAGGGAAAGCCTCCTGCCCCCCCCCATCCCCACTGGCCGACGGCATGCCCCAATGCAGGGGTAGACAACCTTGGCTCTTTTATGACTGGTGGACTTCAACTCCCAGAATTCCTGAGCCAGCCCTGCTGAGGGGAAAGGGAGAGGTTTCTAAACTGAGCCATGTTGGCTCAGGAATTCTGGGAGTTGAAGTCCACGAGTCATGAGGGGGCCATAGTTTCCCCATGCTGGCTCAGGAATTCTGGGAGTTGAAGTCCACCAGTCATCAAGGGCCATAGTTCTCCCATGCTGGCTCAGGAATTCTGGGAGTTGAAGTCCACAAGTCATGAAGGGGCCAAAGTTTCCCCCATGCTGGCTCAGGAATTCTGGGAGTTGAAGTCCACAAGTCATGAAGGGGCCAAAGTTTCCCCCATGCTGGCTCAGGAATTCTGGGAGTTGAAGTCCACAAGTCATGAAGGGGCCATAGTTCCCCCATGCTGGCTCAGGAATTCTAGGAATTGAAGTCCACAAGTCATAAAAGAGCCAAGTTGCCTACCCCTGCCCCAATGTCTCTGCTCTTCCTTTCCTTCCATTCTTGGTAGAACGGCTGTGGTCATCACCTAGGCCCGGATCAACGCAAGGCCTTCTCTGCTGGGTGTGCCACCCCATGGTCCAGGCAAGGAGCCCCCTCTGAAAGGCAGCCTTAAGCACAGTCCTCCGGGGAGGGCACAGGTAAGCTGCCCTGAGCAAATGAAGAGGCCTCCTCTGATCTGCATTTGGGGCAGAATAACCCGGGCGGATTCTGAATCGGGAGAAGAATCTAGTGGGTTGTCAGCTCAGTTGCTTAAAGCTCACCTGCCTGGACAGCTGGAAGGTGAGGCAATTCCACAACAGAGCTAGGCAGATCCCCTCCCCCCGCTGCGTTTCCTCTCCCACCCAGCCCCAGGAGAGAAAACAGCTGCCAGTCAATGCCAGTAACAGGCTGGCATATTGCTGAAGCTCTTCCTAGACACAATCCGCGTCTCTTCTGAACAAACTTTCAAAACGCGCCTAAGAGTCTTCTGGAGGAGACGCTAAAATGGCTCAGCAGCACCCAGGGAGAGAGGCATGCTAGACAGGCCTTCCCAAATAGCCCTACCGAGAGGCTGCAGGATGTGTGCATTTGTGTGTGCCTGTGTGTGTGTAAGAAGCTTAGCAATCCCCCCCCCCCTGCGCTGTAGCCCATTTCCAAACGATGGCAGGCAAAATCTCAGCAACACCCAATTAAATTGCATCCCAAGCTGAAAGGAGCACAACCTGCCAATCTTTACCCCAGTTCCCTAATGGTGAAATGGGTGATCTCCAACCTTGGCAACTTTAAGACCTGTGGACTTCAATTCCCAGAATTCCCCAGCCAGCCCTAAGTCTACCTGACTTATTGCTGCTGGGGTTGAGACACCTGGCTTTAATGAGTCAGTGAGGCTAGCAGGACGTGGGGGTCTCCCGCTGGGGAACCCAGTGCCCATCAAATGACCTGCACAGGTCATTAAGCAATTAATGCTATTAGGGTAGCTACAGCGCAGCCCATCTTGTGTGGTGGCTGTCTGAACTGATCAATGATTTTCTGAAATATTTTCCCTCTGTACTAGATGAAATAAAGGCAGACGTGTCCAAAGTACAATGCCTAGTTCAGACTCTGACTTCTCATACTTTGATCAAGAGATTTAAAAAATTACCTCTTGAGAGATGGCAAAATATTTAAGTGATATTTTAAAAAATTACTATTATTGTTATTGTTGTATTACTATTACTATTAATAACAATAATAATAAAGTTGGAAGGGACCTTGGAGGTCATCTAGTCCAATGCCCTGCTCAGGCAGAAAACCCTATACCATTTCAGACAAATGGCTATCCAGTCTTTTCTTAAAAACTTCCAGTGTTGGAGCATTCACCGCTTCTGGAGGCAGGTTGTTCCACTGGTTAATTGTTCTCACTGTCAGGAAGTTTCTCCTTAGTTCTAGGTTGCTTTTCTTCTTGATTAGTTTCCACCCATTGCTTCTTGTCTTGCCTTCAGGCATTTTGAAGACTAGCTTGACTGCCTCTTCTTTGGGGCAGCCCCTGAGATATTGGAACACTGCTATCCTGTCCCCCCTTGTCCTTCTCTTCATTAAACTAGATATACCCAATTCTAGCAACCTTTCCTTATATGCTTTAGCCTCCAGTCCCCTAATCATCTTTGTTGTTCTTCTCTGTACTCTTTCTCTCTGTACTCTGTACATCTTTTTGACATCGTGGTGACCAAAACTGGATGCCGTATTCCAAGTGTGGCCTTACCAAGGCATTGTAAAGTGGTATTAATACTTCACGTGATCTTGATTCTCTCCCTCTGTTCATGCAGCCTAGCACTGTGTTGGCCTTTTTGGCAGCTGCAGCACACGGCTGGCTCCTATTTAGGTGATTGTCCACTAGGACTCCGAGGTCCCTCTCATAGTTACTACTATTGAGCAAGGTACCCCCTATACTATACCTGTGCATTTGGTTTTTCTTGCCTAAATGTAGAACCTTACTATTACTATATTACTATTACTATATTATTATCGATCATCGCACAGTCAGCCAGATGTTCAGACTGGATTTGGCATTTTGTCTACCTATCGAGTCCTTACCCAGGACCTGGGATAGGCAGCTGTGGATGTTTGATGGTATTACAGGTATCGTCGCAGGATGGAAGCAGTTCCTAGTAAGGCCGCCTTTTGCAATTGACTAATAGCGAATTTGTCAATGCCAATGGTGTTCAAGTGGTGCTCCAGTTGTTTTGGGATTGCACCCAAGGCGCCTATTACTATTGGTACTACCCTTGCTTGCTTTGCCACAGTCTTTCTATTTCTATTTGTAGGTCTTTGTATTTTGTTATCTTCTCCAGTTCTTTCTCGTCTATTCTGCTGTCTCCAGGCACTGCCACGTCCACTATCCAGACTTTTTTGTCTTTCTTATCGACAATTGTTAAGTCTGGGGTGTTATGTTGCAGGTGCTTGTCTGTCTGAATTCTGAAGTCCCAGAGCAGTTTAATTTTATCATTTTCTATGACTTTCTCTATTTTATGGTCCCACCAGTTTTTGCTTACAGGCAAATGATATTTTTTGCAGATCTTCCAATGCACCATCGTTGCTACTTTGTCATGCCGCTGCTTGTAATCAGTCTGTGCAATCTTCTTGCAACAGCTTACCAAGTGGTCCACTGTTTCTTCAGCTTCTTTGCATAAGCGGCACTTACTGTCTGTTGCTGTCTTCTCAATTTTGACTTTGTATGCATTGTCCTTAAGGCTTGGTCTTGTGCAGCCAGAATTAGTCCCTCGGTCTCTTTCTTCAATTTTCCTGCTCTTAGCCATTGCCAGGTTTTATTATTATCTGCTTTCCCAGCTATTTTTTTCATGTATTATTATTTTTATTATTATTATTATTATTATTATTATTATTATTATTATTATTATTATTATTATTATTTATTTCTATTATTATTATTTTTCCATTTACCCAAAAAAGAATTGGGCGAAGGAGGGCATGCTATTAATTGTCAATAAATTATGAGATCACATGTGTAGTGGAAGAAACTCCCCCCTCCCCAGTCCCTGTAACACACACACATTTTGGGTGGTGGAAGGAAGCCCCCCTCCCTTTGAAGCAGGATGTGGCTGCCCTGACTGGCCACAAGGTCATCTTGAGCCTGCGGTGTGACACACCTGCTGAAAAGGCCAATGCTATCCTGGGGGGTATAAATGGGACCGTGTTCATAGGAGATAATTGTCCTCCCCCCAACCAGATCCTATTTGGGGGATGGTTCTGGGTTCAAACTGGACAAACTGGAGCAGACGGAGAGAAGGCCCACTAAGAGGGCAGAGGATCTGGGAACCAGGCCTTCCAGGAAAGAGTTAAAGGATCCAGCTACATTTAGTCTGTAGATTTGGGGGGGGGGCTTTGGGGGGTTCCTGACCCAGAAGAGGCTTTAGCCTGTTGCCCCAGAGAGCAGGGCCAGAAGTGCAAGGAAGGAGGCTCAGCTGAGGTGAAGAGGCACTTCTGGCTGACAGGCTGTTAGTCCATGGAACAGGCTGCCACAAGAAGTGGGCCACCTCCTTGGCAGAGGTGAGGCGGTCTTCCTACGTTGAGCAGGGAAGTTCACGTGCATGGCCTCTCAATCCCTTTGAACTCCAGGAGTGCCCACGTGTCCAGAGTGGCCATGCCCCATTCTCCGCATGTGTGCCAGACCAGGACTCACCTCTTTGGTCCTGACCCCCTTCTGGGGCCGGTGGCTGGGGTGGTTCACCGTCCAGGGTCCCAGAGACTGACCGGCGTAGAAGTCCATGGGGTAGATCTCCTGCCATTGGATCTGCTGCAGAGCCACCGCAGCCTGGGGGGAGGAGCAGGGGGGGAGCAATAAGGATCCTGGCATCAGCCTTCCCCACCTGGGGGGGGGGGCAGAAGAGGCTGGTGGCGCATCCCCCTCCTCTACATAAACTGCACCTGGCCATTAACATCCAGCCCTTGGGGGGGGGGTCCCAGGCTGCCTTGAACCCTTTCCAGTTCCTTCCCCGCCCTCCCTGTCTCCCAGCCACCATGACCCCCCTTACCTCATAAGGCGTCAGCAGAGGCTTTTCAAAGGCCTCCCCCCAGTCTATGGAGAGGCGGGGGCATGCTACCTGCACCCAGCTGTGTGGAGAAAGAAAATGGGGGTGGGTGGGATGCGCAACTTTCACCTGCAGGACAGACCTGGTCCAGTTCCTCCCCCCCCCCTTACCCCAATGGAACTGGGCAATCTCAGTGTATTTAAGAAAATAAAGACACCCCCCCCCAATAGCCTGGGATTCTCCCTCCTGACTGCCCCCCAGTGTAGCCAAGGGCAAACAAATATGAGGAGAGCCTTCCAGCACTCACGCCTCAACATCTGGAAACAGCTGCAGTTTGCTGGGGAAGATCTCCGAGAGGAGAAGCCGGACGTAGGGACGCCCTGCCGCCTGCAGGCTCGACTCCAGGTGCTGCAAAAAAGCAGAGGGGGCTGACTCTGGGGACCCTCGCTGCCGCCTCCTTGGGCGGGGAGCTTCGCGGTGGGGGCCACTTGCCAGAAGGAGAGAGTCCCACAAGGCTTTCCCCAAATGAAGGGGGGCGAGCAGGAGAGGGGGAGCTCCTTGCCCTCGCTCTAGGGGGACCTGCCCAGCTCACCTGGCCGAGCGCTTCCTCGCTGGGACCTGCCCTGGCGGCCTCCCGGGGGTCTTCCAGGACGGGATCCCAACTCGGGCTGCCTCCCCACCCAGCCCCCCCTTCTGAAGCAGGGAAGGCCGAAGGGGTGAAGGCTCCCGGAGCCCAGGGAGCAACCGGCACAGGCTGCAGCCAAGCCAAGGGCCTCGCCTCCACCAGGCGCAGCCCTGCCCGGTCCAGCAGCTCCAGATGCTGCCAGGCCTGGCCAGACGACTCACCTGCAGGATGGCCAGAGACCCCTGCCGGCCCAGGGTGCCCAGGATGAGGCCCCACTTGTGGGCACAGGCCGCCCGGCGGATGGCCGCCTTCCGTGACTGCTGCATGCGCTCATGGGCGTACAGCTCCTGGGAGAAGGCCTTGCTGTACGGATCGTACCTGAGGGAGGAGCGCAAGGAGGGGGCCCTGAGTGGGCAGCAGCCAAGCCCTGGATTCCCCAAGGCCTGGCCCAAGGTCAGGAGTGTGAGTACAACAGTTCTTGTAAAGACGGCACAGAAAAAAGTGACTTATGGCCGATTTTCACACTTATGACTGTTGTCGTATTCCCAGGGTCATGTGATCAAAATTCAGACGCTTGGCCACCGACTCACATTTTACGACGGTCGCAGGGGTCGTGTGATCCCCTTTTGCCACCTCCTGACCAGCAAAGTCACCGTGGAAGCCAGATTCACTTAACAACTGTGTTACTAACGACTGCAGTTGTTCGTTTAACAACGGTGGCAAGAAAGGTCGTACAATGGGGCAAAACTCACTGAACGGTTCTCTCGCTTACCGACAGAACTTTTGGGCTCCGTTGTGGTTGCAAGTCGAGGACTACCCGTGGCTCCCTGGGACAAGGGAACTGAGTGGCAGGGCCACCCTTGAGGTCATCATGACTAGCCCTTCGCTCAGGGCAGCTAACCCTGGCTGGAAGCCTCCAGGCGCTGGTTCTTGGCCAGAGGGGCCACGGTTAGGATTCCTGCCCTTCCAGTGCCTGCCATTTTTATCTATCTCGGGCCCCGCATTCACAAGGCCCTCTGTCTCCCAAGGGCCCCCTCCAGGGGCCCTCCAAGCCCCCTCAGAACAGCTTCTGCTTCTTGGATCATCCTCACGGCTCTTTCCGGAACCGGCTCCTAACTGAACCCGTCTTTGAGGTGGTGCCCAAGCTGGCCCCGGGCCACGCTGGCCCAACCAAGGCAGAGCACAACTCCTTGCACAGACCCTTCAAGACTCTCCATGGCGTCTTCCCTGAAGCCACACAGGAAAGGTTGGCAACGGCCTTCCTCCAGAGGCCTTCTGGATTCCCAGGACTCCCCCATGCTAGGAGTAACACACCAGACCCTGCTTAGCTTTAGAGCGGGATGTGTGTGTCCAAGATCGGCCACTATAAGACTTGTGGACTTCAACTCCCAGAATTCCCCAGCCAGCTAGACCGGGGTGTCCAATGTTGGCAGCCTGAAGACCCGTGGACTTCAACTCCCAGGCTTTCCCCAGCCAGCAAGAATTCTGGGAATTGAAGTCCACAGGTCCTCAGGCTGCCAATGTTGAACACCGTTGCTTTAGAGCAGTGTTTCCCAAACTTGACAATTTTAAGGCATGAGGACTTCAACTCCCAGAATTCCACAGCCAGCAACGCTGGCTGTGGAATTCTGGGAGTTGAAGTCCACATGCCTTAAAATTGTCAAGTTTGGGAAACACTGCTTTAGAGCCACGAGCCACAAAAGCCAGGAAGGCGGAAGAGGGTGGACACAGCCCCTGCCTGCAATCACAGAGCTGGACGCTGCCCCTGCAGTCACCAAATTAAAGCCTCTGCTGGACAGAAACTCTTTTTGCGGTAATGCAGTTTAAAAACCGCATATTTTTTTTGCAGTTACATTACACTGATAACCCACATTCAGCGTGTAATTAACTATTTCGAAATAATACAATCTCATTTTTTTGCGTCAGCCCGAGCCTAATAAGCAGTTCCTCAATTTTTTTTGCCCAAGTCACTGAAAAAGATGCTGAGAAAGTCGGACCCATTGAAGGCCTCGGGCTAGGAACGTCCCTCTGCACCAAGAGTGCCTCACATCACCTGCTCCCATCAGGCCCTAACTGGGTCACTCTCCTCCCCAGGTTCTGGGGGGGGGGCGGTTTTCGGCTGTTCTCAGGATAAGAGGAAAACTGGGGTCAGTGCGTGATCCATTCCAGCAGCATTCGCAACCTCAGCAACTTTCAGATGCATGGACCAAGTCCTAAATTCCCCTTTTGGCTGTGGAATTCTGGGAGTTGAAGTCCAGCCAAAGAGTAATAGAGTTGAAAGGGATCTTGGAGGTCCTCTAGTCCAAGCCCCTGGTCAAGCAGGAGAACCCATGCCATTCCAGACAGATGGCTGTCCAATTTCTTCTTGAAAACCTCCAGAAGTGATGGAGCACCCACGACTTCTGGGAGCAAGGCATCCACCGGTTAATTGTCCTCACTGTCAGGAAGTTTCTCCTTAGTTCCAGGTTGCTTCTCGCCTTGATTAGTTTCCATCGGTTGCTTCTTGTCCTGACTTCTGGTGCTTTGGAGAACAGGTGGACCCCCCTTTTCTTTGTGGCAACTCCTGAGATATTGGACCCCTGCTATCCTGTCACCCCTAGTCCTTCTTTTCACAAGACCTACTCAATTCCTGCAACTGTTCTTTGTATGTTTTGGCTTCCGGTCCCCTAATCATCCTTGCTGCTCTTCTCTGCACTCTTTCCAGAGTCTCAACATCTTTTTTAAAATATGGTGACCAAAACTGGATGCCCTGTCCTAGAATGGCAGATGACCATCCAGCGTCCGTCTGAAGTCCTCTAGTGCAGGGGTCCCCAACCTATGAGCCACAGCCCACTACTGGGCTGTGGCCTACTGGCCACTGGGACACAGAACAGGCAGGTCAGCTAGCGCTGCCACTATGCAAATAGAGCACCGTGTGGCAAACAGCAAACAGCACCATGTAGTGAGAAAACAGCAGGGCTAGTGGGTGTCACACGAGTGCTAACACCCCTCCCCCCATTTGCATTGTGCATGCTTGCAGCCCCGTTTGTGTGTCTGTGCGTGCATGTAAAATGCTTCCCCCTCCCAGTCCCTCCAGTCCACCAAATGAGAAAGACTGGAGACCCCGGCTCCAGTGAAGGAAGTCTCCCCTTCAGCCCAGTCAGGAAATTAGTTGCTTCCGGTGCTGAGCCTTTGGTTGGGCCCGTTTCTGCTCCTGCTCTCGGGGGCCACAGAGAACAACCCCCCCGAGCAATAGCTCTTCCGAGGATTGAAGACTGTCAACCTGACTTGCCTCAGACTTTTTTCTGCAGGTGAAACGTAGCTGAGTCCTCATCCTTCTAGGGCAGGGGTCTTCCAACTTGGCCCTTTGATGACTTGGGGACTTCAACTCCCAGAATTCCTCAGCCAGGCACGCGTGCTGGCTGAGGGATTCTGGGAGTTGAAGTCCACCAGTCATCCAAGGGCCACGTTGGAAGACTCCTGTTCTAGCATGTTCACCATCCTGACAACCTTCCTGAGCATCGGCTGCCATCATCCCTGTCCTGTCTGGGAGGCGGTCCCCAGAACTGCCCCCAGGACCCCAAAGAAGGCTCCGTGTTTTCATGGGAAGCCTCTTTTAGCGCCTCCCTGGGCTACTGTTTTCGAAAGATCCCATTTCTTGCTCCCCAGGACAGGAAAACATCCCACCAATCTGTGGCAGTTCTGGTCAGAAAGGCCGGGGGGGTGGGTGTGGCTGAGGCGCTGCCCACCCTGTTGTGGGAGACCCAAGACACAGACCCTCATTCGCTGTTTGAGATCCCCGGGTCACCCACTCCCTGTCCATCAGTGGCCCCAACACACACAGCAGAAGCATCTGGGTCTGTTCCAGAGATGCACACCCCAGCGGGCCTCCCTCCACTGGGAAACCAGAGGGGCAGGGAGGGCTCTTGGCCCCTGGGGGAAGCAGACATGGCTTCCCTTTCAACTCTCATCTTCACCCCACTGAAGAACCCTCTGTCCCCCCCCCCCCATGGCTGGCCTCCAGCGCAGCCTGCCTGTGGCCTGGGATCCCTTCGGCCCATGGGGTGGGGGTGCGCCAGAGGGCAGTCCAGGCCCCGAGCGGGCTGGCTTCCGAGGGGAAACCCTCTGGACTGTCTGGCCCCACCCTCTCCCGGCTGTGAACATACCTGTAGGCGGGAATGCCAGGGTTGGCGATCATGATGGACTCCAAGTGGAAGCGCCCGTCTCCCAGGTAGCTGCAAAGGAGAGGGGAGGTCAGCAAAATGGGGGGGGCGAGTGGGAAGGAATCTTTGTAGGGGCCAAGAACCAGGGGGAGCCTTGCAAAAAGGGTGGGTGGGTTATGAATCCTTTGCCACCCCAGCAGTCCAAAAGCATGCAAATGGAAATACAGGCAGTCCTCAACTTACAACAGTTCCATTTAGTGACCATTCAAAGCACTGAACAAAGTGATGTGTTTTCCAGACTTTACGACCACTGCAGCATCCCCCAGATGCTTGGCAGCGGACTCATATTTATGACGGCCGCAGCATCCTGCGGGGGGGGGGGTCATGCCATCCCCTTTGCCACCTTCTGACCAGCAAAGTCAATGGGGGAAAGCAGATCCACTTAACAACCGTGTCGCTAACTGAACAACTGCAGTAATTCACTCTGGCAAGAAAAGTCGTAAACTGGGACAAAACCCACTTAAGGACCGTCTTACATAGCGACAGAAATGTTGGGCTGAACTGTGGTTGTAAGTCGAGGACTCCCTATAGATAAATAGGCACCCCTTCGGTGGGAAGGCAACCATGTTCTGCGTGCCTTAGCACGCAGACATGCTGGCCACGTGAGACCACGGAAGCATCTTCAGGCCCCAGAACAACCGTGGCCCTCCCCCAGCTAAGAAAGGGGGGTGAGCAGCACCCCCTGGAGGTAGACAGGGGGAAACCTTTATCCTTTTTTAAAAATGAACTACAGTATTTGCACCCAGACGCCTGAAGTTTCCTGGGTCACGTTCTCCTTGTCACTGGTGGTCTTCAACTCTCAGAATTCCTGAGCCAGCTATGCTAGCTCAGGAATTCTGGGAGTTGAAGTCCATGAGTCATAAAAGAGCCAAGATTGCCTACTCCTGTCCTTGGGCATCAACGTTTTCTCCTAGATCAAGGCTCTGTGGGGCTCACTTCTGGCCATTGAAGCCCCTTCCTCAAATATGCTACATCCCAGATCCACTACCCAAGGACACTCTGGATCGGACCCTGCTTAGCTTCCCCAAGACCACCCAGATTGGCCAAATTCCACCATCCAGCTACACAAGACCGTGCTGAACTCCTGCACAAGATCCCTGCTCTACCTGAGGATCTGGTAAAGCTTTTGTTTGCTTTTGTAGATCTCTAATTTACTCCGATCCTTCTCCTCCCTTGCGGGGGATAGGCAGGCATAGCAAACTCAACCCACAGGCAGGTAAATGAATGTACAAGGCCTCCCTTTGCCTCGTTAATGGGGAGCTGCATGGAACAAACACATTGCTTTAGTAAAAAAAGCAATCATAAACTGGAAAATAAGACAAAGCAGCTGTTTATCCACTTATTTCTGGGGCAGCTGACACAAACACACACATACAGACACACACGCTGCTGCTTAAGAGGGCAATTCCAACAGACACAGAAAAAAAAAGTATTTTCCTTCTTTCTGCACTAGGGATGTTGGCCACTTTAAGACCTGCGGCCTTCAACGGGTGGGGGATTCTGGGAGTGGAAGTCCACAGGGGGCCATCGCTGGACTCCCCTGCTCTACCTCAAAACACCCAGCTTTTGCAGCAAGATGACCCTCACCAGCCTCCCCACCAAGCCCCCCCTTGGGCCAAGGGACAGCAAGGAACCTCTCAGCACCTCCGAAGGCTTTGCGACACCCCGAAAAGCAGCAGCAGCAGGACCGAGCACGAGGGGGTGGTGGTGCTGGGTTTGGGGGGGGGAACATGTCTAATCAGGAGGCGTCCAGGTCTCAAGTATCAAGTCCGCCATTACCCTGCCAGCTCCTTCATTTGGTTCCCCAAACGGAGTGAGAATTCGGAAAACGGATCAGACGGAAAACCTGACCAGGTTTGGGCCTTAACGGGAGAGCCACATTCTGGAGCAGTGTTTCTCAACCTTGACCATTTTAAGGCATGTGGACTTCAACTCCCAGAATTCCACAGCCAGCAATGCTGGCTGTGGAATTCTGGGAGTTGAAGTCCACATGCCTTAAAATGGTCAAGGTTGAGAAACACTGTTCTGGAGGATCAGAGACAATTTGGCCCTTTGGGGAAAGCTGCCCTGAGGTGGCTGATAGCTGGGGCAGAGCAGACGGCAGCGCCCGGCCTGGCAGAACAGGGTAAGGCTCCTCCTGGGGGGGGGGGCTGCCCCAGCTGCCTTCCAGTGGACAGTCCCCCACCCCGGTCTCTGGAAGCAGCACCCCCAGGGTTTCCAGGACTGGGAATGTGCAAAACCATCCCAGCTGGCACACCGACTCAACCGCTGCCGAGACCATCGCCAGAAGTCCAGCTGGACCTGGAGACGCGTCTTTGGGCAAGAAGATAAAGCTGCCTGTGGCTCAGTTGCATTTGCTTCATCTGGGGGGAAAGGGGGGGGGCTAACCAGGTGGCTCTGACCTGAGCTGAGCTCCCAGCAGGTCTCCCACCTGCAAGGTCTGCCCTCCTGCTCCAGTAGCTCTCCTGCCCCACCCAGCATCTCCAGGGCTTTTAGCACCCCAGTCCTGGTGGGCTCACCCCCTTCAGCCATGCAGAGTCCCAGGAAGGAGCAGGAGACAAACTCCAGATCCAGCAGAGAAGGCAGGCTACGAGTCCCTTTATCAGCCCCGAGCGCAGACGGACCTTGTCTGGGTTGGCCCCCACCCCTGGGAACTTCTCCCCTTTGGGGGGGGAGGTTGGAATCATCTCTGTTGAGTTTCTGGGGGTCCCTCAAGGCCCGGTTAGGCCAGCAGGCCTGGGGGTCCCAGGTGAACCAGTGAGGTGGCTCCACAACTGTTAACATCTTTCAGTCTATTATTTCTTTTCGTTTGGTTTTTATACTTTTTAATCTATTTATTAACTGTGTTTGTCATATGCTGCCCAAAGTTGCTTACTTGTGAGATGGGCAGCTATATAAATTGAGAAAGAAAGAAAGAAAGAAAGAAAGAAAGAAAGAAAGAAAGAAAGAAAGAAAGAAAGAAAGAAAGAAAGAAAGGAAGGAAGGAAGGAAGGAAGGAAGGAAGGAAGGAAGGAAGGAAGGAAGGAAAGAGAGGGAGGAAGAAAAGAAGGGAGGGAGGAGGAAAGAAGGGAGGGAGGGAGGAAAGGGAGGGAGGGGAGAGGAAGAGAAGAGAGGGAAGGAAGGGAGGGAGGGAGGGAGGGAGGGAGGAGGGAGGGAGGGAGGAAGGAGGGAGGGGGAGAGGAAGAGAAGAGAGGGAAGGAAGGGAGGGAGGGAGGAAAGGAGGGAGGGAGAGAGGAAGAGAAGGAAGGGATGGAGGAAGGAAGGGAGGGAGGGAGGGAGGGGAGAGAAGAGAGGGAAGGGAGGGAGGGAGGAAGGAAGGAGAGAGGGAGGGAGGAAGGAAGAGAGGAAAGAAGGGAGGGAGGGGGAGAGGAGAGGAGAGGAGAAGAGAAGAGAAGGAAGGAGAGGGAGGATGACAGGAAGGGAAGGAGGGAGAAAGGAAGGAAGGAGAGGGAGGATGACAGGAAGGAAAGAAGGGAAGGAAGAGGAAGGAACGAACGAAGGAAGGAAGGAAGGAAGGAAGGAAGGAAGGGAGAAAGCCCACCAATGCCAACCAACTGAATGAAGAGGAAGGTAAAGGCTTATTTATTTTATCAAAATCTTTGCTGTAGCTGCCCTTCTTTCAATCAACTCTGGCCAGCTCCCAATCACAGATGAAAAGACATATAAAATCATATTAAAACTATAAAAATAAGCCGATTAAAACATGAACATTAAAAACCAACAAAAATCTAGTGCAAAATCAAACTTCTCAGGTGAGATTATCCTCTTGTGGGGAAGCCGGGTCTTCAAGGCCGAAGGGGGGGGGCTGCTGAACTTCAGGGGGGGGGGCAGAGTGGTCCATAGGTCAGGGGCTGGCAGGGAGAAGGCCCGCGGGGGGGCTGGGGCAGGGCAGAGGGCCCCCTTCCCTGACCAGGTGCTCCCCCTCCCCAGCCAGCCTCTCCTCCCCCCCCCCAAGCACTCCTCTGTGTCTCCTCCAGCCCTTCGGCCGGCATTCACAGCACATTAAGCATTTCCCTGCTCCAATAATTAGGCCTGCAGGCTTGGCTAATTTGCTGTCCTTAAGGAAAGGGAGCTGGCTGCAGCATCCAAGCCGGCCATCCATCCATCCTTCGGCCTCCAGCCATTCGCTCTGTCGCCCGCAGAGAGCACAGCCCATGGCTGGCAGAGAGGCCCACGGGTGTAAGAACCCACCACCCCAGAATAACAGAGTTGGAAGGGACCTTGGAGGTCTTCTAGTCCAGCCCCTTGCTCAAGCAGGAGACCCCAGACCATCTCAGACAAATGGCTGTTCAGTCTCTTCTTAAAAACCTCCAGGGATGGAGCGCCCACGATTTCTGGTGGCCAGTTGTTCCACTGATTGTTCTCACTGTTAGGAAGTTTCTCCTTAATTCCATGTTGCTTCTCTCCTTGATTCGTTTCCATCCATTTTCCTTCCTTCCTTCCCAGGCAACAGACCTGGACTTAGATATCGCTTAATTAACAGTGATTAATTGTTCTCACTGTCAGGAAGTTTCGCCTTAATTCCAGGTTGCTTCTCTCCTTGATTAGTTTCCGTCCATTGCTTCCTGTCCTGCCGCAGATGATCTGCCTTTTTCAAACTCCAACCTCAGCTTGCCAGCCCAGCCACGTTCCCAAACACCTGGATAGGTCCCGGAGTGGCTAAGCCTGAGCGCAGAGCAGGGAACCCCCACCAAGCTTTCCATAAAAACCCATTCCTGCTTCTTGGGGTGGGCTGGGCTCTTGACCCTGGGATTCTGGCACAGGGAAGGGCACAGCTGAATGACGGACAGGGACACGGCCACTCTGTCCATCTAGCCTCAGGTGGAAGTTCAGAAGGACTGCACCAAAAGCTCCCAGCTTTTGTTCATAAGGACCAGAAGCCTGAGCTTTACAAATTAATAATTTACAGCTGAGCCTCTGGAGCAGTGGTTCTCAACCTTTCTAATGCCGCGACCCCATAATACAGTTCCACATGTTGTGGTGACCCCCAACCACTTATACATCACTGGGTGCCAGGGGTGTAGCCAAAGAAAAGGGGGAAAAAATGGCGGACAGCCTTGTTTGGCGACCCCCGTGAAATGGTCGTTCGACCCCAATGGGGTCCCGACCCCAGGTTGAGAACCACCGCTCTGGAAGGTTTTCTAGCCAAATTTGACCCAGACTCCTGGGAGTGTTCTACCCAAAGGGTCTCCAACCTTAGCAACTTTACCACTGGTGGACTTCAACTCCCAGAATTCCTCAGCCAGCCATGCTTGTGGACTTTATGGCTGGCTGAGGAATTCTGGGAGTTGAAGTCCAAGGCTGGAGACCCCTGTGGTCTACCCTCTTAGTTGGAATGAAGGTAAAATTTAATTCAGGCTCCCCTGCTATTATGCAATCTGGGATGCAATTATCCCTTCCACTGGTGCAGTTTTCCCAATTTTGCAGTACAACCATTATTCAAACACAGAGGATCAAAAGGCACAAATGAGGAGAAAGTGCCCTGGGAGAACTATTTTTAATGTCATTACCTACGAAGTTTAATGAGAACATTTAAAGATCCTTTGCTTATTGATGCAAATGTGGGAAAAGCTTGAGAGAAAGAGAATGTTTTTGAAACGAAGGCACATATGTTTGTGCCTTCTTATTAATGAAAGACCCGGTGGTTCTTCTGTGCCAAGGGGAGACTGGGGGGGGGGGTCTCTTGAGTGCCCTACCCCGGATGCCGGCCTACCAGAAAAGCCAGAGGGGGTCTGAGAGCTGTATGCAAAGAAATACCATTTTAACGCATGCCGGTTAGTGTACATTCAAAGTGACAATAAAATTATTCTTCTATTCTACTCACACAATGGCGTCCGTCTCCTGGGCCAGCCGGGGCGACGTGCAGCCCAGCAGCTCTCCTGGGGAGAGGGGCTTGCACTGGGGGGTCCAGATGCGGTAGTCAGGCTGGAGTTCCCGGGAGGCGGCCTGTGGAGGGAGGAGGGCGTGGAGTGACGTGGGGGACCCAGAGAGAGATTTAGGAGCCCTGTTGCTCAACCCAGCGCATTGCCAGCCGGAGGGATTCCCTGGCAGCCTGGTGGTTGTCTCAAGGGAGGGACCCCCAGTGGGGGTTTGGCCTCTGAGGGACCCCCGACTGCTCATTCCTGAATCCTAGACAGCAACAGGCCTGGGGGGGGGAAGGGGGCTCTTGCCAGCCTCCAAAAGGCTCCCCAAAGGCCACTGAGGATCCAGGAGGCCTGATGGGTGGCTGGCACCTTACGTTCACACCGTGTTGTGCACAGACACCTGTCAGTCCTCCAGAGCACCGAGGGTGTCTCACACACACGTGGGAGGGAGGCTGCCCCCGTCCAGAGGGCAAAAACGGGGCCATAGGCCAAGAGGGAGCTTCTGATCTTCCTGTCCTCACAGTGGGAGGCAAAGGCAGACCCACAACCACCGGAGAGGGGCCTCAGACAAAGCTCCCCCCCCCCTTACTTCAAGGGTGGGTGTGTGTGTCAAAAGAGTTTCTCCTGCTGCTCCTTCCTTCCTTCCCTCCCCCCCAGGGAGGGGGCCATGCTACCTCCTGGATGCCCTGCTTGCAAGAGGCAGGGGGCATCCCCTGCATGCAAAGCCCCCCCCCCAGGACTGGTAGGGCAGCAGGCTCCGTTCCACCCACCTGCAGCGCGGAGGCGAACTGGCTGGTGCTGACCAGGGCCAGCTGAGCCCCGGGGGGGAAGTTGAAGCGGAGGGTCTGGACGAGGTGGGCCGTGTCGATCTTGATGTCCACAAACACGTAGAGCATCTTCAGGCCCTGCGTGGGGTCGATGGGAACTGTGGGAGCAAACAAATTTACCAGCAGTCCTCGGCCTACGACACAGCCAAGCCCAAAATTTCAGTTGCTAAGTGAGACATTTGTTAAGTGAGTATTGCCCCGTTTTACAACCTTTCTTCCCACCGTTAAGTGGATCACTGCAGTTGTTAAGCAAGCAACACGGCCGTTAAATGAATCTGGCTCCCCCACTGACTTTTGTCAGAAGTCGCAGAAGGGGGGGGTCACATGACTCCCAGGATGCTGCAACCGTCATAACTCTGAGCCTGTTGCCAAGCCTCTGCATTTTGATCACGTGACCACCTGGGGACACTGCAGCGATCACAAGTGTGGAAAATAAGTCACTTTCTTCTGTGCCGTTGTAACTTTGAATGGTCATTAAACTATTGTAAATTAATAGTGGCAGTCATCGCTCGGAAGTCCTTGAGTCCTCGTGGGATTCCTGCCCCGGAGGTTGTTGGGTGTGAGTCCCTCCTATTGAAGTTGGGTTCACGGGTTCAGTTGGGCTTGCTGCTGACATACCTACCTCCCAGCTGCGTTGCAACAGCCCTGCCTGCGTTGCTGGAGTCAGTAGCCGGGTTGGCGGTGGAGTTCCCCAGACTTATGGTACTGGGGGACTTTAACCTACCATCACTCGGCGATCGCTCAGAGGCGGCGCAGGAGTTCATGGCTTCCATGGCAACCATGGACCTGACCCAGGTAATTCAGGATCCGACTCATAGGGGTGGTCACACACTCGACCTTGTGTTTCTCTCGGGGCAATGGAGACATGATCTGGAATTAAGGGGAATAGAGATCTCGCCCTTGTCATGGACAGATCATTTCCTATTGAGGCTGGACTTCAGAGCATCACTCCCCCATCGCAGGGAGAGGGAGCCGACTAGGTGGTTCCGCCCCAGGCGCCTAATGGACCCAGATCGGTTCCAGGAGGAGCTTGGGGAAATACCTGACTCCCTTGTCCACAACTCGTCCGGGTCCCTGGTTGCGGCCTGGAATGAGGCGGCATCCGGGGCCCTGGATCGAATTGCGCCTTTGCGACCTCTCTGTGGTGGTGGTCCCCGGAGGGTCCCTTGGTTTACTGAGGAGCTCCGGGAGATGAAGCGCCACAAGAGACGTCTAGAGCGACGTTGGAGGGCCAGTAACTCTGAATCTGACCGATCACTATTAAGAGCCTATCTTAGGACTTATTTAGTGGCGATAAAGGCGGCAAAGCGTGTTCACTTTTCCGCACTTATTGCGTCCGCAGAATCTTGCCCGGCCACCTTGTTTAGGGTGACCCGCTCCCTTCTTAAAGTGGAGGAGGCGGAGGAACCCTTGCAGGGGAGAGCTGAGGAGTTTGTTCAGTTTCTGTCGGACAAAATCGCCCAGATTCAGAGAGACCTGGACTCCGACTGGGCAGTGCCAGCCGAGATAATAATAATAATAATAAAGTTGGAAGGGACCTTGGAGGTCATCTAGTCCAACCCCCTGCTCAGGCAGGAAACCCTACACCATTTCAGACAAATGGCTGTCCCGTCTCTTCTTAAAAACTTCCAGTGTTGGAGCACCCACACCTTCTGAAGGCAGCTTGTTAATAATAATAATAATAAAGTTGGAAGGGACCTTGGAGGTCATCTAGTCCAACCCCCTGCTGAGGCAGGAGACCCTATGCCATTTCGGGGGCTGGTCTTAGTCATGTTATCTGGAGTGAGTTTGAGCCTGTGACCCCTGATGAAGTGGACAAGGCCATGAGGGCAATGAATGCTGCCATCTGTTTATTGGACCCATGCCCCTCCTGGCTGGTTTCTGCCAGTAGGGAGGTGACACGAGGCTGGCTCCAGGAGATAATCAACGCCTCCTTGATGGAATCAACGCCTCCTTGATGGAGGGGTCTTTCCCGCAACCTTTAAAGGAAGCGGTAGTGAGGCCCCTCCTCAAGAAGCCTTCCCTGGACCCAGCTGTTTTGAAGAACTTTCGTCCTGTTTCCAACCTCCCCTTTGTGGGGAAGGTTGTAGAGAAGGTGGTGGCATCCCAACTCTTGCGATCCTTGGATGAAACTAATTATCTGGACCCTTTTCAATCTGGTTTCAGGCCCGGCTACAGCACTGAGACTGCTTTGGTTGCACTGACCGATGACCTCTGGCAAGCCCGGGATAGGGGTCATTCCTCTATTCTGGTGCTTCTTGACCTCTCAGCGGCTTTCGATACCATCGACCATGGTATCCTTCTGCGTCGTCTCGGAGAGGTGGGGGTGGGCGGCACCGTATTGTGGTGGTTCTCCTCCTACCTCTCTGACAGGTCGCAGTCGGTGTTGGCGGGCGGACAGAGATCGACCCCTAGGCACCTCGATTATGGGGTGCCTCAGGGCTCGGTCCTGTCCCCCCTCCTTTTTAACATCTACATGAAACCGCTGGGTGAGATCATTCGGCAACACGGGGTATCAGTACGCGAATGATACCCAATTATATATCTCCACCCCGTGCCCTTTCAGTGAAGCAGTCGACGTGATGTGCCGGTGCCTGGAAGATGTGAGAGTCTGGACTGGGGTGAACAGGCTTAGACTCAACCCTGACAAGACCGAGTGGCTCTGGGTCTTGCCTCCCAAAGGTCAACTGGATGGTCCATCATTAGTCCTGGGGGGGGGCAAATTTACCTCCCTCAGTGCAGGCACGCAACTTGGGTGTCCTCCTGGACTCACAGCTAAATTTGGAACAACATCTATCGGCTGTGGCCAGGGGGACCTTTGCCCAGGTTCACCTGGTGCACCAGTTGCGGCCTTATTTGGACCGGGAGGCTTTACTCACGGTCACTCATGCCCTTGTCACCTCAAGACTGGATTACTGTAACGCGCTCTACATGGGGCTACCCTTGAAGAGAGTTCGGAGGCTGCAGTTGGTTCAGAATGCAGCCGCGAGAGCGATTGTGGACGCGTCAAGGTACGCCCACGTGTCACCTATCCTCCGCGAGCTGCACTGGCTTCCTGTGGGTCTCCGGACGCAATTCAAGGTGTTGGTTATCATCTTTAAAGCCCTTCATGGCATAGGGCCAGGTTACTTACAGGACCGCATACTGCCGCACAGTTCCCAGAGACTGGTGAGGTCCCATAGATTGGGCCTCCTTCAGGTCCCGTCGGCCAGACAATGTCGGCTGGCAGGCCCTCGGGGAAGGCCTTTTCTGTGGTGGCTCCGACTGGTGGAATCAACTTCCCCCCGAGGTTCGAACTACTCCCACCCTGCCGGCCTTTAAGAAAGCCGTTAAAACTCTCCTGTTCCGGCAGGCCTGGGGCTGATGTCCCCGGGGGGGGGCGGGATATGATCGGACATGCTGTATGATTGTATTATTTTATTGTTAGATGATTGTTTTAATTTTGTATGCCGCCCTGAGTCCTTTGGGATTGGGCGGCATATAAATAAAATTAAATAATAAATAAATAAATAAATAAATGAGTACCTATGTAATAGGATTGGAAGGGACCTTGGAGGTCTTCTAGTCCAGCCCCCTGCTCAAGCAGGAGATCCTGTATCAGGGGTAGGCAACCTTGGCTCTTTTATGACTCGTGGACTTCAACTCCCAGAATTCCTCAGCCAGCATGGGGGAACTATGGCCCCTTTTACGACTCGTGGACTTCAACTCCCCGAATTCCCGAGCCAGCCTAGCTCAACTTGGAAACCTCTCAGCACGGCTGGCTCAGGAATTCTGGGAGTTGAAGTCCACGAGCCATAAAAGAGCCAAGGTTGCCCACCCCTGCCCTCTACCATCCCAGACAAATGGCTGTCCAGCCTCTTCTTAAAAGGCTCCAGTGATGGAGCCCCCAACGATTTCTGGAGGCCAGTCATTCCACAGAATAACAGGCATGGAAGGGACCTCAGAGGTCTTCTAGTCTAACCCCCTGCTCAAGCAGGAGACCCTATACCATTCAAAACAAATGGCTGTCCTATCTCTTCTTGAAGTCTCCAGTGATGAAGCAGCACCACAACATCTGGAGGGAACTTCTGTTCCACCGGCTGATTGTCCTCATTGTCAGGGAGTTTCTCCTTAGTTCCAGGTTGCTTCTCTCCCTGGTTAGTTTCCATCCGTTGCTTCTTGTCCTGCCCTCTGGTGCTTTGGAGAAGAGGTGGACCCCCTCCTCTTCTTTGGGGAAGCCCCCCAGATACTGGAAGGCCGCTATCCAATCCCCCATGCCTCCTTTTCATGAAACCAGGGACTCCTAGTTCCCTGACCGTTCATCTTACGGTTTAGTCTCTGCTCCCGATTGTCTGTGTGGTTCTTGCCCGCATCGGAGGGAGCAAAGGCTGCCAGCTGCCCCCCCCCCAACGCCAGGGGTCCAAGCCCAAGGGGGCTCCAGAGGAGGCAGAGGGGAATCCCTGCCAAAACCTCTCTCTCTGGAGCCTTCAAAAGGCAAGACGGAGAAGAAAATGGAAATGGGATGCATTTTAATTATTAGACTGAAGGAGGCAGTTCAGGAAAAAAAAAGGGGGGGGGAGGGGACTCCAGCAGATCCTTGCGTCTCAGTGGCTGGAGCCCAGATAATCTCTCTCTCCGTCCCCAACCCCAACCCGAAGGGCCAGGCAGAGGCCGAATCCCCTCGTTGCCCCCGGGTGAGTCACTGGTTGGATTTGAGAGGGGCTGCCCAATTCTCCCTTTGCTCCTATGACCCGGGAGGAGGGCGGCTGGTGCCCCCTCAAATGACTCAGCCCCCGCCCCCTGCGCCCCTGGGCAGTGAACGCTCCAACACTGGAGATTTTTAAGAAGAGACTGGACAGCCACTTGTCTGAAATGGTATAGGGTTTCCTGCCTGAGCAGGGGGTTGGACTAGATGACCTCCAAGGTCCCTTCCAACATTATTATTATTATAAAATGGGGCCGGAAAGCTGGTGGGCCCACCGCCAACAGAAGCCACCCTGCTTTCAGCACCCAGTTTGTCACATAAATGCATCCGCAAGGGGGTCCTCGGCCTACGCCCACAACTGAGCCCAAAACTTCTGTTGCTAAATGAGACGTTGGTTCGGTGAGTTTTGCCCTGTTTTACAACCTTTCTTGCCACAGTTATTAAGTGAATTGCTTCATTAAGTTAGTATCATGGTTATTAAGTGAATCTGGTTTATCCACTGACTTTGTCAGGAGGTTGCAAAAAAAGAGGACCACGTGACCCCCCCCCCAAGGATTCTGCCCCTCCATGTGAAACCAGCGGCCCAGGCTCCGGATTTTGATCATGTGACCCGGGGATGCTGCAACGGTCACAAGAGTGAAAAATGGCCATAGGCCTCCTTTTTCAGAGCCCTTGTAACTGGTCACTAAACGAATGTTGTAAATTGAGGACTGCCTGTACTGTGCTCTTAACTCCGTCTTAGCATGTTGTGTGAATCCAACCAACAAATGAACTGTGAGCTAGAGGCAGCCCGACTTATCACATGCAAATTTACAGCAGCACTGGAATAAGTGACTTTTATGACCAGTCCTCACAGTTATGACCATTACAGCATTTACCTGATCCCCATTTGCGACCTTCCCAGCCAGCTCCCAACAAGCAACGTCCATTGGGGAAGCCTGATCTGCTCAACGACCGTGTGATTCATTGACCACCGTGCACAAGAAGGCGATCAAGGTGTTTTGTGATGGGCCTGCATGTGGAGACGGGCGAATACAGAAATTCAAACAAATTAAAAAATGTAAAATTGGGTGAGACTCGTTTAACCTCTGCCTCACTTAACGACAGTCCTGGCCCCAATTGCGATCGTAACTTGAGGACTAACTGTGCAAGTCCTAAAAAGGCTTCTGCCCCCCAGGCTGGGAGAAAAGCGAGAGGCAAGGACCCGGGGGAACCGTGTCCTCCCCGGCAGGCAGCCAGGGGGGGCCAAGGAGGGGTCTGGAGGGGCTGCCATTCTCTGCCCTTGGCAGGTGCCGACAGAAAAGCCCCTCCCTCCCTTCCCCCCCCCACTTTCCCTGGAATGGGACCCCTGGGGGCTGACCCAGATACCAGGAGGGCCATGGAGCTGGGCGGCTAATGTGCCTCAGGGCCAGGCTGGGGGTGGGGACCCTGAGGGGGTGTACAGCTTTCTGCACCTGAGGACAAAGGTCACCCCCCTCCCAGGCAGCCCCCTCCGGAGCCCCCTCCCCGACTCCTGGCTTCCTTGATGCCAGCCTCAGCCCAAACCATCCGAAAGCCAGGGTGCCCCAGCTGCAAATCCCATCAGAAGTGGAACATGGGCTCCGTTCATCCCCTCCCCAACCGTCTCGAGGGGGGGGTGTTTTTGCAAACGGACTCAATGGACACGGGAGGCGGCCCTCCCCGCAACCTCCCTGCAGTGCTGGTGCGGCAGAGCGCCTGCCCAGACGCGGACGTCACGCGTGAGGGGGGCGAGTGGCAGCTCCCTGCCCTATCACGGGGGGGGGGGGAGGCTCTGCTTCAGCAGTAATGCGGGGCTTCCAGAGGGCGCTCGACCTGAAACCCCCCCCCCAGCAGTCAGTGAGCTGGAGGCTGAAGTGGCAGCATGCACGCATGCACGGGGGGGGGGCTTCTGCGCCAGGGGACGATGGTGCAAAGGGGAGAGGGGCCGTCAGAGCACACATGGTGGGGCAGCCCCTTGACCCCCTCCCCAATTCAGTATGGCTCCCCCCCCCTCAGCACAGGGGGATGACAGCCCGGGCAGGAGGAGGAGCTGATAATACAGCCTAGCCCCCTTCAACACTGACAGCCCCCCCCCGCCCAATTCTCTGTGATTTTGAGCCAATTCCATCCTGGGTGGACTTCAAAGTTAGCAGCATCTGGGACAGCAGCAGTTTCCATGGCAACCGAATCTGGAGTACTGCTCCGCCTAGGGAGCCAGCGGGCTGCTGCTCCCGCCCCCCTCCCCTCCCCTCCCCTCCGCAGCCAGCCAGCCAAGCGCCAGACATGCCAAGGGTCTGGGAGGGACTGCCCTCCAAGCTGGGGCAGGTGATCCCCTTTCCATAGCTAGGGCCAGGCAGGCAGAAGCCCGCCCGGAGGCCAGGCTGGAGAGCAATGGCAGGGGGTTGCAAGGGGCAGGGGGCACTTGGACTGGGGTGCCTCTGGGGCCCTGGAGCCCTTCAATAGGAGTCCGAAGCCTTCCTGGCTCCCTCAGCTGGGATCAGGCGTTGGGGGGTGCCTCTTGGCCCCCCAACACCCATTTGGCCCTTTGGGTAGAAATCTTCTAAATAAATAAATTTCCCTCTCTTCCCAATTGGCCAGCTGGAGAGCCCAGAAGGGGAGGGGGCACGTGGCCTGGCTCTCTGCCCACAGCCCCGTAGGGGTGACTTGGCATCTATCCAGAGGCTGTGGGTAAGGGGTGCTGCTTCTCTACTCCCCTCTTTTTGAGAAGCCACGAAGCTCAGCCCCCACGGGCCACGTACATACTCAGGCAGCTGTGCCCATAGTGGACAAGGAAGTCCGCTCCCAAGGCCCGTGCGGTGAAGTCGTCCACGCAGCAGGCCCCATAGGTCACGTCGCCCATCACCACGGCCTCTGCCCCGGTGAACCTGCGGGAGGAAAGGCAGAATGCACGTCCCATGCGGCTCAGCCTTCCCGCCTCCCCACGGAGGGTCCTGCCGGGGCTGCACTGCCACGGCACCGTGAGCGGCCCCGCAGCGGCCCGGGAAACTGGGTTTCCACTCCACTTCAGCCCAGTGGCTCATCCTGCTTTGGAGGAAGAGGAAAAGGAGGACTGTGGGGTCCCTTGGTGCTCTCCGCAGGTCTTAAAGGGGCCCAGGTTGGACACCCTGATTTAAGGAAAGGGCAGCTTCTCAGCCAGGGAGGACAACGGTTCCCTCACAAGCCACCCAGCCAATTCCAGATTAAAAAGCTCCCCTCCAGGCCTTTTGCCCCACAAGGCCCCAAAGAGTGGAATTTCAAAATACTCCCCTCATTCCCCCTCCCATCTCAAAAACAGCCTCTGTGAGAGGGACCTTGGGTCCGAGTGGACGATCCCTTGACCGTGAGCCAGCCGTGTGCAGCAGCAGCCAAAAAAGCTAATACAATCCTGGGCTGTATAAACAGATGCATGGGGTCAAGATCAAGATTAGTCCCGCTTTACAAAGCCCTAGTAAGACCACACCTGGAACACTGCAGCCGGTTTTGGTCACCGCACTACAAAAAAGATGTTGAGAGTTTGGAAAAAATTCAAAGAAGGGCAACTAAGATGATCCAAAGCCTGGAGACTAAAACATACGAAGAGCGGCTGCGGGACTTGAGTTTGGCCAGTCTAGAGAAGAGGGAGACATGATAGCAGCATCCCAGTATTTGGGGGGCTGCCACAAAGAATAGGGGGTCACGTTATTCTCCAAAGCACCAGAGGGCAAGACAAGAAAAAATGGTTGGAAACTGATCAAAGAGAGAAACAACCTGGAATTAAGGAGAAACTTCCTAACAGTGAAGACAATTAACCAGTGGAACAGCTTGCCTCCAGAAATCGTTGAGTGCTCCATCACTGGAGGTTTTTAAGAGACTGTCTGAGATGGTATAGGTTCTCCTGCTTGAGTAGGGGGCTGGACTAGAAGACCTCCAAGGTCCCTTCCAGCTCTATTCTATTCTATTCTATTCTATTCTATTCTATTCTATTCTATTCTATTCTATTCTATTCTAATTTTAATTCTATTCTATTCTATTCCTTATTCTATTCTATTCTATTCTATTCTATTCTATTCTATTCTATTCTATTCTATTCTATTCTATTCTTCCTAAATCAACAGTGTCCATCTTTGGCCACTTTAAGATCTGTGGACTACAACTCCCAGAATTCCCCAGCCAGCATAAGAGAGCATCGCTGACGGGAATTCTGAGAGTTGAACAACCTGACTCCAGAAGCGGTGAATGCTCCAACACTGAAAGTTTTTAAGAAGAGACTGGACAGCCATTTGTCTGAAATGGTATAGGGTTTCCTGCCTGAGCAGGAAACTACATGACCTCCAAGGTCCCTTCCAACTCTGTTATTGTTATTGTTATTATTGTTAAGTCTACAGGTCATAAAGTGGCTGAGGCTGGACATCCTGCTGTAAATCCTGCCACTTGCTGGTTAAAGGAGAGTCCTCGCACTTACGACCATGGCAGCGTTTCCCGTGGTCACATAATCAACTGGACGGACAGCTGCCCTTCCCCCCCGGGGCTCATGTGAAGTTGGATTCACTTAACTGCACCATTTATTTAAACAACTGCAGTTATTCACTTAACGACCATGGCAAGGAGGTCACAAACTGGGCAACTCATTGAACAACTTCCTCGCTTAGCGACAAAAATTCTGCTCCCCTCTGCTCGGAAGAGAGCCCCGGGGGAGGCTAAAGGAGGCGGGCGGCAGTGGGGGAGGGGCAGGAGACGGTGGCAGACATTTTGTGAGTCCGCCCGTGAGGGTCCAAGGCCGCTCACCTGAAGGCTTTTCCTAGACACTCAGGAGAGCGGAGGCCAGTTCCCCGCCCCCCTCAAGGCCTCTCCTTCTCAGACCGGCCTACCTCGAAGGGTTGTTGGGGGGGAACAGGAAGAGGGAGCAGTGAGTCTACAGTAGAGTTCCCCAACCTTTCGGGGATGGCAGCCCGGAGCAGGAGGTGGGGGGAAAGGAGGGATGGTTTTGGGGGAGGGTTAACGTGCACGAAGACCCGTTGCTTGTGCGAGGGGGGCCGTGAGTGCTCACACGAGTGGGACCGCAAACACCCACGGCATGTGCTGACGCTTGCCCTAGTGAGGCTGGGGACGCCCGCGATACTTGCACCGATGCTCGTGTGAGTGGGACACACACACGCTACCAGCCAGCCACCCATGTGGCCCAGTGGCCCATAAGCCACGGCCATGGCCACAGTTTGGGGCCTACAGCCTTGAGCTCCTACACAACAGGCAGGAAAGATGTTTAAGGAATAAAATAAAAAGTCACCCAGGCCTTAGTGGGGCAGATGCTCCAGGAAGGAGCCCGAGAAAAGCAGCCCTTCCTGGGCCAGGAAAATTGGGGGGGGGGCTTGGGGGGACGCCCCAGTTCCTTCCCAGTCTGCGGAGGGAGGGAGGGGGGTGAGGAGCCCGGCGGAGGCTGCTGCTGTTTCTGCTTCGCTTCGGATAAAAGGATCCGGATAATCAGCCCCTTTGAAGCCGAGACATGAAAGAGGCCCCTCGCTGGGCAGGCAGCTCCCCAAAGCACTGCAGCACTGGGGGCAGCTGGCTCCGGAGGCAGCCCCCCAGGAAAGCAAGGGGGGAAGCCCCCTCCCCCATCCGCCATTTGCGCTCTTCCATGGATCCAGCAAGGCCTTTCCAAGCAGCCAAGCAGGCGGGGTGGAACGGGGAGGGAGGGAATGGGGGGGGGCATTCGAGCAGCCCTGGGGTCAGCCCCACCTCCCTCACCCCCACAAGCCCCCCCCCCCAGCCTCACATTCAGCCCCTGGGCAGGCAGAGCTGAAGGGCTGCACGGCAAGCCTCAGGCCAGGAGGCTGGAGGTGAGGAAACGCATGAATGCCAGCCTCCCCCCCCCAGCCAAAAGGCCCCAATCCAACCCCAGCCCCTCCCCAGCCCCCCCCCCAGCCAAAAGGCCCCAATCCAACCCCAGCCCCTCCCCAGCTCACCTCTCAACGATGTCGGCCAGGGTGCAAGCAAACATCAGGAGCCCCTCCGGCATCTGCAGCGCCACTGAAAGGCAGGCAGGCAGGCAGAGGAGGCCCGTCAGGGTCTGGGAGCAGCCCCCCATCCAGCCCCCCCCCAGGAGTTGGGGCTCCCTTTCTCCCAGCAGGGCTCCACCCCATCCCCCCTGGGGTGACTGCAAGCATGCTGCCAGGCCCCCCACCGCCCACCTCTGCCCAGATGAGCCTCTGGAAGCCGAGCTCCTCCTGCAGGGAGAATGAAGGGCATCCGGGAAGTCTCCCTGGCTGGGGATCCTGGGTGCTGCAGTCCCAGCTGGGGATCCTGGGTGCTGCAGTCCCGGCTGAGAGCACCGGGTCAGGGGTGGGTGGGGAGAGGCTGCAGTTCAGGGACGGAGGCCTTCTTGGAGGCCAAAGGGGGGCCCGATTCTGGAGAGCTCTCCAGGCTGAGCGGGCACAAGTCCCATCTCCTGGGAAGCCCGCCACCCACCCCTACGGGACAGAAGCCGAGCCATGGGGGGGGGGTGTTCCCAACTCTGCTCCAGGAAAGAGCCAGACAGCGGGCAGGCAAGAGAAGCTCTGCCAGGCATGCCCACATCCCTGGCACAGCCCCGAATCCGGCTGCCCGCTCCGGCTTCTGGCCCTTTCTGGTCGGCTGAGTGATCAGGAAGAGGGCAAAGCTGCTGCCCTGCCAGTCACCCACAGCTGGGCGAGCAGGGGCGGGGGCAGGGAGCCCCCGGTGCCACCATCTCCTGCTGCCAATGGGCAGCTCTCTGCCTCTCCTGCCACCCTCCTGGTGAGATCCAGGAGGCATCCTCAGTGGAGAAGCCGTTCGCTGGGAGGATGCCCGTTGCTTGGGCAAGGGCTCGGAGCCAGCTCTCCTTGGCACATGGGGCAGCAGCCACGCCACACGTGGCTCCGTGGGGCTCATCCCCACCCCCACGGGGGGGGCACCCACTTTCCCCAGAGCTGTGTTCCCTGCACGAAAGTAGCCAGCAGAGGCAGAGCGGTAGCTGAGCTTCCACGCAGGGATCCGGTATCTCTCAGTGCCCACTCCCAGAGGGCAAAGGAAGGTGGGCCTGGGGGTCTCCCTTCCCCAATGGGCAGTGCCCCTCCCCCCTCCCATGGCCAAGGCACTCACCCCTCTTGGCTTGGGCCTGACGGACCCGCCACACTGTTTTGTAGACCTCAAAGTTGTAGTTGTGCGGCAGGCGTCCCACGGCGTCCTGGAGCTCCGGGTCAGAGAGAATCTCCTGGGGGATGAGGTGCGCCACGCGGCGAGGGGCTCGTCTGGCTGCAGGAGGGAAGAGCCACGCGAGGGGAAACTGAGCCCACACGTTCTCCCCCCTCCCTCCCTCCCTCCCTCCCTCCCTCCCCACTTCATTCGGAGTGCCATGCCTTGGCAAGGAGGGAAGCAGGTGCAGATGGCCAGTGCTCCCTCCTCGCCATTATGCTTCAACACTCAGCCCTAAGGACAGCCAAGGGAGCTGTGCTGTCCAGGCCAATTAGCCAGATGCCTCCCAAAGCCCCCTCCCCCAGCAATGCAGGGAGCAGGCCCGCCTTTCCCTGGCTGGGGCAGCCTCTGGCTGCTGATAAATTATAAAGCCATCCAGGCTCTGTGGGACAGCAGCCATTGCCACAGCCTCTGCGCACCACACAAATGCTTGGCCGAATTTTTTTTTGGGGGGGGGAGCTTTGTGTTGCAGGCTAGTATCGCAGGCTGACTCTGCCCACAGCCGGGAGTTCGATTCTCACCGGCGTAAGGTTGACTCAGCCTTCCATCCTGCCAAGGTGGGTAAACTGAGGACCCAGACAGTTGGGGGCAAGAGGCTGACTCTGTAAACCCTAACCCACCTGACTCAACCCGATGGCTCCTGGCTGCCCAGGAAAACTCCCACGATGCCATCCTGGAGGAAGGCCAATCGCTTTGGCAACGTGGAGAAGGAACCTGTGTGGAGGGGGTTGCCAGAGGTCAGACTGGACTCCTCCCTGCGGGGGATGGAGAGGATCTTCCCAGGGCTGAAACGGACAGGGGCGGCCAGGAGTGCCCATTACATCTCCCTCTGGGGGGGGGGGAAGCAGGGAGGATTGGGGGCCGAGGGGAGAGAAAGGCAGATGGGCCACAACCAGCAGGAGCTGAATCACACTTCAAGAGGGGTGTTGGCACTGCCACCTACGGTGCCAGAAGGGCTAGTGGGCCCGGGTCCTCCAAAAGGCGCCCCCAGCCCCCTTTGGCATGGGCATGTTGGCGTTGGGTGAATCAGCAAAGCAACAGCCTTACGGAGGATGCAACTTGGCAGAGAAGGCTCTCCGGAGGGAGGGAGGGAGGGAGGGAGGGGAGAAATGGGGAGGGGGAGCTGACTGTCGCATGGCAGTGCCAGGAGATAACAGGCACCAGAGGAAGAGGGCAAGCAGAGACTGGCTCCCGGGATCTTTTGCCAACCGACAGGGAGAAGACGACGAATCCAAACTCTGAGCAAGCTCTGTGGGCAAAGCTGCAGTGGGCAGAGAGGCAGGGCAAGGCCGATTCACCCATGCCTCTGCCCGGCTCGAGGCCCAGCCGTGGGCATTGCCGTTCCCTACCTACCCCTTCGCCGTTTGGGAGTGAAAAAGGACGAGGTGGCCATTTAGCCAACCAAAGGAAGGGGCACCTCTGGGAAACCAAGGCAGGAGGGAAACTGCTCCAGGAGCAGAGGAGAAGAGACCAACTGGAGTCACCCAGACTCCTGGAGCTATACAGGCAGTCCTCGACTTACAACCACAAGGCCCCAAATTTCTGTCATTAAGACATTTGTTAAGTGAATTTTGCCCCATTTTACAACCTTTCTTGCCACAGCTATTAAGTGAATCACTGCAGTTGTTAAATTGGTAGCACGGTTACTAAGTGAATCTGGTTTCCCCCTCATTGACTTGGCTGGCCAGAGGGTTGCAAGAGGTCATCACATGACACTGCAACCGTCGTAATTATGAGTCAAGCGTCTGAATCAGTTGTCCAGTGTCTGAATTTTGGTCACGTGATCATGGGGATGCCGCAATCATTGTAAGTATGAAAAATGGCCATAGGTCACTTTTTTCAGTGCTGTCATAACTTGGAACGGTCACTAAATGAACTGTTGTAAATTGAGGAGCATCTGTAATTGAGTCGGGAATTATGGCTGTAAATTGTGCCGGTCATTAAGCGTCATGTGACCAACCCAATTTTACATTTTTGCAATAGTTATTATCAAATCATCATGGTTGTTAACCAACCATCTCCGTCATTAAGTGAAGCCATTGTCCCAAGGGGTGTTTTTTGCTGAAACCAGAAATAAACTCCGTTTTCTAGGAAACAAAAGAGTAAATTGTGATCTACAAACCGCCATAACTGCAGGTCAGCTAACCTGAAGCCACCAAACTCTGAATCTGGGTCCCTTTCTTTGAATCCACTGTAACTTTGGTCGCTAAGCGATCAGTTGTAAATCAAGGACTGCTTGTACAGGTAGTCCTCGGCTGAAGTTCACTTAGTGACCATTCAAAGTTACGACAGCCCTGAAAGAAGTGGCCGATGGCCACTGGTCACACTCACATTCCCAGGGTCACGTGATCAAACATCAGACGCTCAGCAACTGAATCGTATTTATGACGATTTTAGGGTCCTGGGGCCACGGGATCCGCTTTTGCGACCTTCTGACAAGCAAAGTCAGTGGAGGGGAAGCCAGGTTCACTTAACAACCGGGTTTTACTGATTTAACAACTGCAGTGATTCACTTAGCAACTTAGCGGTAAAATGGGGCAAAACTCACTTGACAAGGGAAGTTTTGAGCTCAATTGTGGTCGTAAGTTGAGGACTCCCCATATGGGAGGAGCAGGAATCCACAGGGTGATGGGAGGAGAAAGGAAGGGGGGTAAGGAAGAATCAGAGACGAAAATGGGTGGCTGGGAATCGTATGAGATTCCAAAGAATAAGATCCAGAGGGAAAATTATTCGGTCAGGGACCTGGATGGGGGGACGGAAAGACGCAGCCGGGCAGACCTGGAGAACGGCAGCCATCTGGCCAGTCCCTCCGTCTTTCAAAAGTTCCACAAAAGAATTAATTAATTAAAAACGGAGGTGGGGATCCAACTATGGCTCCCTTTTATGACTGGTGGACTTCAACTCCCAGAATTCCTGAGCCAGCACGGAGTTCTGGGGGTTGAAGTCCACACAAGTCAGGAAAGGGCCATGGTTCCCCACCCCCGGAGAAAAAGCACAGTCGGGTTGAGAAAACAAAGTCCTCCTTCAGCAAAGGAGTCAAGGATAAGAAACCGCCAGAGGAGAGCCCTGTTAGTCCGAGATGGCAAAGGATCAGGAGGAACCCAGCGGCCCCCCTCCCGACGCACCAACCAGATTCAAGGAGGGGACAGGTAGATCTTCAGTTCAGTCCACTGATCTTCTACGATCAGAGGGCTGGAGGCTGAAACATAGGAAGAACAGTTGCAGGAATTGGGTATGTCTAGTCTAGTGAAAAGGACTGGGGGGGGGGTAATGATTTGTTGTTAATTGCAAAGTCGTGTCCGACCCATGGACAATGTTCCTCCATGCCTTCGTGTCCTCTACCATCTTCTGGAGTCCATTGAAGCTGACTCCTGCTGCTTCAGGGACTCCATCCAGCCACCTCCTTCTCTGTCGTCCCCTTCTTCTCTCGCCCTCCATCTTTCCCAGAATTAGGCCATTCTCCAGTGAGTCCTTCCTTCTCATTAGGTGGACAAAGGACTTGAGTTTCAACCTCAGGATCTGGCCTTCTAAAGAGCAGTCAGGGTTGATCTCCTCCAGGACTGACCGGTTGGATTGCCTTGCAGTCCAAGGGACTCGCAGGAGTCTTCTCCAGCACCATAGTTCAAAGGCCTCCATTCTTTGGCGCTCAGCCTTTCTTATGGTCCAACTTTCACAGCCATACATTGCAACTGGGCAAACCATGGCCTGGACTATACGCAATGATAGCCTCTTCCAATATTTGAGGGGCTATCAGGGAGAAGGGGGGTCAAGCTATTCCCCAAAGCCCCTGAAGGCAGGACAAGCAACAAATGGAAACCGATCAAGGAGAGACGCAACCTGGAACTCAGGAGGACTTTCCTGACAGTGAGAAAAGTATAAACTCCACGAGAAAGCTGAAAGGGCTACAGGTGTAGTTGGTGTAACTGGAAAAATATTAAAATGTGGATGCGGTTTGCTTGCAGAGAGGCGGCGTGTGACACACTCATTTTGTGTGTGTAAGGACTGCGTCTGTGCCTGATGATTACAAGAATGTCAATTTGTTCCCCTTCGCAAAGAGAAGCATAGCAACAGGGAGCACAAGCGCTCCAAGGGGGCTGCTTTGCCACCCGTGAGTGGGAAGCCGTTAGCAGAATTCCGACTGGAAGGGCGCAGAAGGGACAATTGACAAAATGGGACGTTTTTGTCCTGCACAAGAAACGTGAGAAAAGGAGCTCATGCCGATTTAGATAAAATGCAGAATAAAATGGATACGCTGGAATTGCGGGATGTTTCATGTGAATACGGGATTAACACTTGGCTGCTGCATGCAGCAAAAGTTGACGTTGGAAACAAAGCATGAATGAAAATAAATGGAGTATTTAGTCAATGGCTCAGTAAACTGAAAACAAGAATATGTGATTGGAAAGGTAATGCGGCCGTGGATGAAAAATGGTTCTGGTGCTGTTAGAAGAATTTATTTATTTAGAAGATTTATACAGCTACCCACTCGCTCTCAGTGACTCTGGGCAATTTACAAGCAATGTTGGTTTGGGGCATGAATGTGTGTATAAGATGATGCCATTCTATAGGCTGAGAATCAGGGTGCAGTTTAGAATGTCTAATGCAACAAGGGGTACAGGTTGGAAAATCAATGCAGTCATTTCAAAGTATTTGTTTTTAACAGGGAGAAATTGAGAATAATTACAAGCTATACACGAATAGAAAAAATAGGCCAATTAGATGAATCCATGTAACTTGGTAGAACAGTTATTACCGGAAAGAAAAATGTTAAGAACTGTACATGCTTTTCAGAAAGAGAGTCTGCTTAGGTGTGCTTCCTTCTCCTTGTGTTACTTCATACCCTTCAAGCTTTTGACTTACCCTTTCTTTCTCCTTTTGTGCACAGAAAAAAAATGTCACACAATGTTGCTTACCCCAAAAAAGAGCACCACAAAGGATGCACATATAATACTACAGTAATAAATCTTTGAGCAGGATCACAGGGCCAAGACCCTAAAGCAGGGGTCTTGAAACTTGGCCCTTTTATGACTTGTGGATTTCAACTCCCAGAATTCCTCAGCCAGGCACGCTGGCTGAGGAATTCTGGGAGTTGATGTCCACAAGTCATAGAAGGGCCAAGTTTCAAGACCCCTGCCCTAATGCTAAAAACAGCCCTTCACCCAATGGCCAACAAGACACCGGAGGCCAGCGTTCAAGTACTTTAAAGTATAAACATTTATAAAAGTTGCATTTGAAAAATGTATTAAGAGAAATGCTTTAAAATTGATTATTACAAGCGTGGTACCAGCACCAATCACGGACTGCCATTATGTGTAAAAATTCTTCCTTTAAAGAATCAGACAAAACCAGGTGGATTCCCAGCTACGCGCCCCTGACAGGAGACCCGGAAGTTGAAGAAGATTCTCTGGGCTCCCCCCAAAAGTCCAGGGGAGCCACGCCACGCCCGGCCTGCCTGCCCCCCCGGGGCTGCTGCTGGGAGCCCCCGGCCCAGCCTGCCATTGTGCAAATTTCGGAATCGGACAGGGCAGGGGTGTCCAACTTTGGGAACTTTAAGACCTGTGGACTTCAACTCCCAGAATTCCTCAGCCAGCCATGTCTGGCTGGGGAATTCTGGGAGTTGAAGTCCACAAGTCTTAAAGCTGCCTGGGGAATGCTGGGAGGTTCTTACAATTCCCAGATTGGATAATTGGTGGTCTAGGGTCTCCTGCTCGAGCAGGGGGTTGGACTAGAAGACCTCCAGGGTCCCTCCCAACCCTGTTGTTCTTGGGGTTACTTTTAGGGGGGGAATAAAGCCCGTGGCGTCCCTCTCTGCGATCACCGCCTCAAAGCCTCCGGGCACCTTTCCTCCCGGGG